TACACTCTACACTCTACACTTTACACTCTACACTCTACACTTTACACTCTACACTCTACACTCTACACTCTACACTCTACACTCTACACTCTACACTCTGCACTCTACACTCTACACACTACACACTACACACTACACACTACACTACACACTACACACTACACTCTACACTCTACACTCTACACTACACTACAGCACACTACACTACATTACACTACACTACCTTACAACTACCACTACGCTACACTAATTAGACTACACTACAACTGCAACTCCACTGCACTACACCTACAGCTACAACCGTGCTACACCACATTTACATCCAGCAGTTGTGGGTGAGGTGACCACTGCAACCATTGCAGCCATTCCAAAAAACACAACTTCAACCACCTTTCGGTCCATCAGTGGATTCGCTCTGCCATCCGTGATTCACAACACCAACCTCTCCTATAGGTTTCCTATTTTTTAAACTTCCGCCACCGCCTTGTGCGGTACTACTACTAAAAAAATGTGTTTTCCAAACATAGTAAAAACACCTTGTTTCTATTATTAATGGTAGAACTCTCAGATTGGACCTTGATGTTCCAACTTGTTTTCTAAAGGGGATTAATTAAAAATCAAATTGACCAATCCGAATTTCCCCAAACCAAACAATCTGGGGATGTTTTTATTATCAAAAAAACTTTAATATAGGAAGGGAATATTCCCCGTGGAACTCCTACGAGCAAAACTGCGACCCGAAAAAATTGATGGTAAAGAACAAATTAAGTCACAAAGGGATCCGTGGACAGCTCTTTGCGGAGTTTGCGGAGCTGTGGTTCAGAATTGTTTCTTGCTTTGCTTTTCGGCCAAACCAAAACCTAACGTGTTTGGATGTTTGATAAAAAAGGGATGATTTATCTCAGCAACCCACCAGCTTGGGAGGGCGGTGAGGGAGTGAATTCATCAGGAAAGGGTTCGAACCTCTCGGCAAAGGTGCCACGATGCAGTCCACCACAGACTCTGGCGTGTGGTGCACTGTCAATGGCCCGCGTGTGGAGTGGCACTCAGCAACTGTCCAAGAAAACAGACACTGTCCAAATCTTCCAGGAGTAGGACTCAGCACATTTCCCCATAAGAACCTGAACAAAAGGCAAACTACTTTAGATTCGGAAGTGAAACACATTGAGTCTATTTGTCACCTGCAACATGTCAAGAGTATGTAAAGTGCCCAAAGCAGGTGCGATGTGCATCCATGTGCCAAACTTTGAAATTTTGAAATGTTAGGCCTGGGACAGGCAGGTGGTCAACAACCTGGACAAGGATCCATATCTCGCTGAGGAGTGGAAGTTGGAAGTTTCCACGTAGTCTGGGATCCGGGATGGTCTGGGATGGTCCGGGATGGTCTGGGATGGTCTGGTGGTGAGCAGCAGCTGATCTCGACTGCTTCATGTGTTCTGTTGGGAGGGTTTGGTTTCATGTTTGAAGTAGGAATGTGGTCAGCTGGACAAGTCGTCATTGCAATCATGAGTAGCGTGGCACTCTCGTTTTGCTTAAAGTGGACACTGCAGGCATTTTTTGCGTCCCATGGCCTTCCTTTTATCTATGGAGGATGTGCAAAGTCAGACAGCGTGCAAAGTCACACAACGTTGACTTTGACACAGAAAGCAGCATTTGCTGACTGCCGAACTGTTGCATATTTCGTCAGCACAATTTTAGCCAGCAGAATTCCCCTGAAATCATAGTGAGGACCCCAAGCTGCGTGGCCATGCAGACCACATCAAAGTGGCTTCTGCAGGGATCCCCAAGTCGGAGTCCAACAGCGGTATACCCGCGTTAGCACTGATACGGGAGCCATGGTACGAGGCATGGCCTCAGAACTTCAGTCAACTTCGGTCAACTTCAGTCTTCATGTTTCCATATATCATATGTTTCCTTTGTGCTTTCGCGTTGCGATGATACCGATACCACCGATACCACCGATACCGAAATCGTGAGACGAACTTTCTTCACATTGCACTGACGGTTTGGCGCATTAACTTGCACGGTTCAAAAGAATCACCGAATTTGTGAGCTGCGACTGGCTGCAACTGGCTGCAACCGCACCAAGGACATCGCCACAGGGCAAGCCAAAAGGTGGGTGCAGCTCACCGGAATGGTGGACCAAGTGATGCTGCTGGGGCCCAAGATGGCCCAAGCTGTTGAAACATGTTGAAACCGGATGTTTTTATTTCATGTTAATATATGTTAATACATTTGGGCCCATAATGAAACCTGTAGGAACTGTGGGGGCTATGGAAGCCCAGGGCTCGCCTTGCTCTTTCGCATCCTTTCACTCTTTCAGCATCAAGCCTTGATTTGTCTTCTGTCTCATTTGTTCTCATTTGCTTGAGTGCAGTAGTCTCTGGGCCTGTAATCGCAGAGCTTACACAACCAGGGAATGCCAGAAAACATTACTTTAACAACATGTTTATGCTTATCAAGTGATACCCAACCAGTTTGAGTTTCTCAATGCTTCATAAGGATACCTGTATTTGTTTGAGATGACCTGTCCACTTTGTTAGGTGTCTTTTCCCGCTTAAGCATTTTGGGGCTGCACCCATATTCGCTTAGGAATGCTTGCTTTGACAACCTCTCATTGCTCGATTGATGGGTGCCTTAAAAGGAAACACTATTCACCCTTTCCGCTGCTCAAATGTTGCTCGCCTGAGGCAGAAACCCAAGCACCTTCAGGTCATAAAGATACAGGGAGGGCGTGGTGCCAGTGGAGTGGACACCACCTTGGCAATCCGGGTGACGGGTCCTCTCCAAACTGGCTGACCCCACTTGGTAATTTCCATCGATTCTTAGAATTTTGACAAAATTGGCTTAACTCCACGCAGCATCCTTGATCAATCGCTCTATGAGCTCTCATTGTATAGGACACAGACTTCAAGACGAAAGCTGTTTTCCATCTACTTGGTTGGCAGCTCAAATGCCGCACGATGGGCGAAGTTGCGATCTTGACCGAGACAACATGGAGACATTCTGGAGACAACATGGAGGATTGAATATGATTGAATCATGTACTGGCATGGCATGCCATTAGTTGATTGGCAGCGACTGGTCATCGGAACGGCTTCAGCTTTTTCATCTTTTTCTTTCTACTTCTTTTAGTATCTTTCAGTCCTGCCGGTCCTGCCCAGGCTATAGTTTTGTGTCTGAAGTCAGGGAAGGAAGCAACCCGACATACAATTTGAAAGCCGAGGTGCGCTCCGTAGAATCTCCAAAAAAAGTATCGTGCCAGTCATGCCATGAATTTGTTGCTGGAAACATTGGAAACCTCGGGCCAAAATAGTGCCAAAACAGATCAAAACAGGTCAAATAAAGGACTGCCGCCCCCTGCCGCCGAACCCGGAACACACGGAGGCCAAAATGTTTTTTGATAACAGAGACATTACAGTCACATAGTAGCCAAGAGGAGTGACGTCAATGCATGCACCATCGCATAAAGTAAGCCCCTTCAAGTTGAATTAAAGGACATCAGGAGCGTTTGAGATATTTTCCCCATTCTTCCCCCAGTTGCTGTGAAGCTGCTTCATTTGCGGGGGGGCTCCCATACCCAGCAGTGCGCTGCTCCCAGTGACAGCGCAATCGAAGAAGTCAAGAGATCCGCCAGCCAGTCCATTGCATTATACGGATCAGAAAGCATTAGGCCGCAGAATTGTTTCAAAAATTGGGGTGCCAAGGTCTGTATCGATTTTGTAATCTGAAGCTATCTTCCCAACATCACGATGAATAATAGCTTTAACAATTTACCAAAGAGAAAAAATGGACGGATGAGAAATCTTTGAAGACATTAGTCAGTGTTTACACCTTTGATCAAGACTTCACTGGCAGCCAGTACTACCTAACGTTGCTTTCTGAACCGACAAGAACTTAGCAAGCACGGATCAAAACGCTGGTGTCGCAACACTGCTCCTCTGACGCGCTCCCCCTGCCGTCGTCTGGGGTCGGCGGATTTTGGTGATGAATTTGTCGTTGTTGAATTCAGTTGACTTCGCTTTTAGATCTTCAAGCCAAATGTGCTATGAGAATCAGTAAGATTTATCTGGTGTGGCACCCAAACAAAAGTCTCCTGTGCATCAAACGGTACCTTGTTCAAATGCGAGAAGTTCGAACGGCTTGAATGGAGCCTTACTCTGAGACTAGGTTAAGCCCGGTTAAGCCCGGTTAAGCCATTGAGACTTCACGTTGAGCATATGTTGAGGTCATATGTTGAGGCTAGGTTCCACCATTCAGAGGGATGTTGAGCCTGAATGAAGCCGGTCGTGAGTCTATTTTAGGCCATTTGAGTCCATGGTTCGCTTCAAAGAAGCTACCTTTGTAGTTTGCAGGTTTGAAGGTGTCTTGAAGCCGCACCAAAATCAAACAGGATCCTAGCCCTGGCCCGTGCCAAAATCATGAGGTATGTCAAGACAAGTCAACCTATTGCATATCTATGCATACGCCAGCAACCTCTCTCACCACCTGGATCAGGTTTGGGTGAGTAACATCAAGAGCACACATTAAGACTCAACCTTGACGAACATGCTCGTGAATGAAGTTGCATACCTGTACAGAGACTTCTGAACAATGTGAGTTTCTGACAGAAAGGGAATGCAAGATATTACGCAAAATGTTTGGACCATTCAATGAATAAATCATCGGCTCTACCCAGCACCATTGACTCATCCCTTCAACCCACTCACTGGCTCATCAAGCGCCCACTTGCTCCAGCCAATCATTGATCCGACAAGTCATCAAGCAACTAGTCAAATGGTCAAGCAATCAGCCAGCCAGCTAACCCACCAACCATGAGAAAGTTCTTGCCCAGGAACATCTCAACCAATAAATCAGGCAGTCAACCAAAAGGTAAATCCATAAACGAAACCATCGAAGAAGGGCACACCCCGTATGCCCTCCTTCTCCTCCTTCATCCTGACATCCTGCAACTGTTTCAGGCGGCTGTGCCTGTGGCCTCCGAGGATTTCGTTTCCTTGGATCAGAGCGAGGCCCGAAGACTCGCGTTTTCACAACTGTAAATTGTCACTGTAAATAACCCCCACGGGAAAAGCATTTACATATTTCACATTATTTCACGTTCTCCAAACTTTTGCAGTCAACTTCCCTGTTGGGGGAAAGCAAAGCGAGCCAACTCAAGGTAATGTGTGAACCAGACACCAAGTTCAATTTGTTTGACAGTCGAAAGATGCAACCTCCAGGTTCTTGTCGTAGGCACGGCAGAGAAGACACAATTATTTTGAGTTGAATAGATTCGGTGTAACATGGTGTTGCATTTGTCATCATTTGTCATCCGTTTCTTCCGTTATTCTGCTCCTTCTGCCCTACTTTGGTCTCTCTGCAAGTCCTTATCTCGTTTGCAATTCGCGTCCTCAAACTTTGCGTTGTGCATCCGCAGGTGGGTTTGGAGATTTTCCAGATGCTTGAGGACCCTTTTTCCATCTTTTTCCACATTGCAGCATTGCTTTTTGGCTGAACACGTTTATTGTGTGATTCCGATCATTCGAGGGGTTAAGTGCAGAAACTCTTTTCTTGCATTTACCTTGTGAATCTTGTGAAGCTTTCCCAGTTGTCGAAGATTACGGCTGTCTTTGTGGTTGTCTTCGTGGGATTTATTTGGTGAAACGCTGCCGTTGTGTTCAGGAGTGGGAGACAGACACAAAGCAGAAGGAGTGGGTGACAGATCAAAAAGAATCGAAGGGTAGGGTGCCTTTTGTTTAACAAGCCTCCTTCACCAGTTTCATAAGTTTCATGCATGCATAGTTTCATGGTTTCATACTGTTTCATGCATCAAAATCCAAACATCCGCAATCTCTTCACCATCGCACCTCTCAGTCGACAGGAACAACTGCTCTACGTGGGCTCCGAGTTTTTGACAAAAATGTTTGACATCAAAGTCAAGGAGGCAGAGAGCAGGAAACAGAGATGGAAATGTTCGATGAACTATCGAGTGCTCTATTTATGCTTTTGGTTGTATAGCGTACAAGAAATAGTTTCTTATTATTCCTCAGTGGGAGTTTTTTTTTGAGAGAATCTCTTCCCTTAGGATTTGCTCAGCAAACGGAAGGTTCAATTTTTTGCCCTCTGGCCATTGACATAAGGGCTCGGATCATCCACAGGCATTTTGACTCTTAGGAATGCCTTGCTTCGCTCTGCCCACGCTGTCCATGTGTGCGGAGTTGCTTCGATTCTGTGTGTCAATTCCTTGCTTTTGGGCACATTTCTGTGCCAATGAAATCGATTTCCGCAAATTGATTCGAACCCGCAAAAGCCCTGCTGTACTCGTGAAGAAATTGAGTCTGCACTGAAGTGATTTAAATGAGTCAAGATTGAGTCAAGATTTTTGTCAAGATGGGCTATGCTGTGCTATGATTCCTAAATCATTCTGACTCGTGGATCCTCGAATGTTTGAGTGTCTTGAGACTCCTGTGGCTGATGGCAACCGTGCTCAGAGTTGCTCTTCAATGAAAACGTTTGATCCCACAAAGTTCGCTCGTGGTGTTTTCTCCAATGAAATCGGTTTGGTTTGCTTGGGATTGATGATGTTTGATGATGTTTGATGCGCTTACGTGCACCCCTTCCTTCACACGCCACACCTTCAACGTCTAGTGCGAAGCTCACCATGTCGGCCAGCTGTCGTTTAGTTCCCCTTGCTTCACTGCTCGCACCCAGAACAAACCCATGACCTGATGGATCCTAATGGGATGTCGTCTTTCCGGAGTAACAAGGAGGCCAAGGAGGCCCATATGTTTTTCGAATATTCAGAACATGTTTTTTAATCCTCCCCGTCCCCCCACCTAGATTCAGATTCATGCTTTGTGATTGGTCAATCTCGTTCCCAATTGCGGTGCTATTTTCGTCCACCTATATTGATAACGAACAGTTTCACTCCAGCATCCAACTCGCTGACACCCAGCCTCTTCACTCTCCATTTTGGCGGATGCAAATTCTGAACCTTGAGCATCTTGAGAACGAAAGGATGGGACCACAGATGAGCTATGTCATCGACTCAAGGACTGCGGTTCAGTGGGCACCTCAAGAAGCAGAAAATGAAGAGAAGACATGAGAAGAAAAAGATGTGGGTTTCGATGTCCAGAATGATGAGAAGATGTTGAACTGTACACCCAAACATGTCAAGATGGATGTTGGCAAACAGATGGCGGTAAGTCACAGCACAAACCAAGCGCATTTGAATCCGTTCGATGCTGGTTTGCATTTGAGGTGAAACTCTACAAGGGTGGACCATACAAACTGCAGCTTTGGAAACCAGGCCGGGACAAGGAGACTTTATGTCGAAAGCCTGATGTGATACTAAGTGGAATGGTGCTAGGAGCATCACTCAGGCGTGGCGATGTCGATTCAGTTTTTCGTGCCAGGTGCTCTGGTCACAAAGCTTGATGAGATTCGCCCACAAGAAAAGACCCCGGAGCAGATCGAAGAAGAGGTGAAAATCATCTCACCATGGATGGGTGAAACCGGGTGAATTACATTGAATTCAGTGAGATATTACGCAATTACGCGTGGGAGACATGGAAAGGGGGCCTTCGCACGTTGAAGGACTGTGCGCTGGCAAAATCACAAGCATTTGGTCAAGCCGAGGCATTTGTAGGTCTTTCCTCGAGAAGAGGCGTGCTACATTACGCAGAACAATGGCGTCGCATTAAAGAACGCACCGGATGTGAAACCAGTGCATCGTATTCGTTTTGAGGTCCGTGTATTCAGTGTATTTGTGCTTGCATGATGTGCCCTGCGATGCCCTGCGTAAAAACCAAAATAGTGTAGACATTGTGCAAAATCACTGACCAATGGTTGCATGGCATAAGCCTGCTCCGTTTGATGGAACATGCCGCCAGTACCAAGGGTGCAGGAAGAAACGATGTCATTTAGAGTAGATACATTGACAGTAACATTCACTTATAGGAGCGCCCCGCACTCAACTCACTCAACTCTTTGGGGACAGCTTTTTCACGTGCCGGAAGCCGCCTGAAAACACTGGACATCCTCTGCTTCCATCCCAATCTGCTTCGACATCGTGGAATAAGTCAACGAACAAATGAACAAAGAAGCATGCAAATGCTGGAACGTTTATGCCTTGTTTCTCCAACGAGAGAGTTACGTGCATGCGAGACTTCGAACATTTTCGATCACAAGACATTGTAGGTAGCAATACGATACAGTGCATGTGCAGTGCAGGTACACTGCCTTGTATATCAGTATTTGATGCCGGTTCGTAGTCATGATGTGAAGCTCTTGGAAACGCATTTGTACTGCCATCGTCACTGTCAAGCCGTGTCATAACATTTGTCAGACAAATGCACAGTTTGATGAAAGCTGATGCTCCAAACCAGTTTGGGTGGAAATAACTTGCTCTGGCATCAAAGCCTTACCTGATACCTGCAGATCGCAGTCACAGTGATGTCCAAACTCCGATGGTTTTTGCGTGATCGAAAAGACTTGAGAAGGTGACTGCAGAAGTTGACGTCATCTGGAACAAGGACCCGGTGGGGATCCCTGGCATGATGGACAAGATGCTCGTGATACACAAAGGCTTTGGTATCCGAACTTGAGCTGGGAGAGTTGAGCAGAAGATTGTGTCTTTGTATGTCTTTGTAGCAAGGCAAACAGCGAATTTGGTTCTTTTGAAGCTGGAAAGCGTTCCAGTCACCTCGATGACTCACCGACCCCAAAGATCCCCAAAGCACGTGTTTGGGATGCACCCGCACTGTGTTCTACATACACCGATCCATTATGTGCTGGTAGTATCTGGTAGTATCTGGTTGTAATGTATGGAGGGACTGATGGCAAGTGCTTGCTGAATTACATTTCACTTGTCGAGCGGATCTCATTGCAGCTACCACCGAACTGTAGATTTTTACGTGCTGTGGCTACATCATGTCACGATGTCAACCAATACAATCATATACGATAATGAAGATAATGCAGTAAGCACAAGTAAGCCGTGGCCTGTGGATGCTTGTAGTCTGTTCATGTCTGTTCTTACGTGTCTATATGTGTGATATGTGTGCAACTGTAAGCCATGTCTCCGAGCCAACGTGCAACTTGCATTGCTTACCACGCAGCTGAATGGCAGATTACAGCGGACGATCACCAGGCAATGTTGAGGATCACGGCAGGGAAAACATTTCAACGTCAAGGAGACACATTTATCACATTTCAACTATTTTCAACCAATGGCGCTTTATTGCGTTTAAAGTTTGTCTCCTGCAGCGGAAGCATCTCGCTTCAACAGTAAGTCATGTTGCTCCCTATGCTTTCAAACAGAACTTGCATCCAAATCCTTTTTTGCAGTCAATCTGTAGCACATGCTACATTGCGACCTAAACCTAAATCTGTTTAGATATTTTTGGATATGTTTAATTCAAATCGATTGTAGTCGATTGCAAGGTGTGTTTTGTTACCAGTGCATGTGCGGTGAGGCCAGACGGCTCACTGAGAACCCCTGCATCTCTCCAGAATTAGTTGGAGGTGAGGGAGAATGGAAAGGATGAGACAGATCCTGAGCGATGTCGGGAAGGGGTTCACCATGGTTCACCAACCACCTTTGAACCTATTAAGGTTTTGTGATGTTTTTGCGTTTTTGGGGTTGACCGTTGGTAGCTTACTCGTAGCCCGAAACAGGAGAGTTTCCTCAGTGCTAGTCAGAAGTCACTGTTGTGTAGCACTAGTTGGAATGGTTGAATGGCCAGGCTTACCTCAATGCTTACCTCATTTACCTCTTGGCTGCGCTCTTTTTGGGTTATCACTTCGTTCCAACATGATGTCTCTGAAACCCAGGGGTTGTCAATCGTCCAAGGGCTGTGATGAGAAAGTGTGTCGTTGCTTCTATGTCAGTAAAACCGCATCAAGACTGGCAGGTGGAAACACAACGCTCTACACGTCCAATCGTGCAGCTGGGAACCTCCAGTCTTTGAGAGAATCTTGAGAGAAACATTTAGGATCTTTAAGCTTTCTGGCTCTCTCGCAGCGTAGGTTTCTCACCATTCTAACCATGAAATTATTTGTGATGAACGCCAGTACCTCTCATACAAAACAGCACCACTGGAATCAAGAACGTGCAGGTGCTTTCTGAAATATTTCTCAGCCACAAGTCTGACAAACATAAAGAGACTATGTGCATTTCTCAGCCGTCTATGTGCCGAAGAGACTATTTTCATCACTTTTCTCTATATACAGACGGCCCATGACGGCCTTTCAGATCCTTTCAGTGCCGAAGCTCCGATTCCAACGTGCGATGCTGTCCTTTGAAATCAGTTCGCATCAGTTCGCCACATTTATTTTGGCCTCGGGGAATATGGCCCCAGGGTTGTTGCATTCAGTCTCCGTCAACATATATTGTGCACCGATTTCTGAAAGAATTCATAAAGGAAGTTTAGACGAGAAACTTCCGAGTTATGGATTCCTGGATGTAGCTCAGAGAAGACGTGGCTGACAGAAGTAGCTGAGAGAAGAGATGGATCAGAAAATATGTGGTCAAGAGCAGAGAGCTCAGTGAACATGTAGCTCCGAGAGGGCCAAGAGAAGAGCAGTCTACAGAAGCAGCGCAGAGCACGGCTAGCTCAGAGAAGAGCTGGCTGAGAGAAGGAGGCTGCTCAAATAAAATGGCTCAAAAAGGAAGCAGCTAAGGAGATATGTTCAGAGAAGAGCTGCTGAGTGTTTTGCACACCTTCTGCCCTGACGTCAAGGCAGTACTGGTAATATATCGGTTGACTAGTTTGATCATTCACTGGCTGTTGGAATGGTACCCCTTTGGAGGCTTGGGTGTGTATGTGTTTAAGGTAAAGGCTGGAGATTCCCCGGAAGTTGATTTGAATGAATTTGTGCATCGTCAATTTTCATGTTTCTTGTGTTTACAGGGTTCCTAAATGGCAGAACATTGCTAAGGTCCCGGCACCGGCGCGGATTTTCGCGGCAACCACTTGTGTTCACACAATCTATTTTTGTTTGTTTTTTTCAGTAGTTTTACAAGAGCAACACCTTCAAAGTAGCAATCATGGATTATCATAGATCAAAGCAACATCTTCAACGTATAAACAAGTAAGGGGAGCAACATCTTCAACATAGCAACAAGTAGAGAAAACACCTGTCTGCAACATAGTAGCAAGTATAGAAAGCAACATCTTAATGGAACCAACAAGCAGAGAGAGCAACATTTTCAACCTAGCACCTAGCAGCTTAAAGTAAGCAGTGCCCATCGAATCTTATTAGGCACGCCCCAACCCCCCACCAACCTCTTTACAACGGAAGACGAGGTTTTTTTTTTCAAGCTCCGGGAAACCTCCACCCTTGCGCCCACGTATATTTCACAGATGTATATTCTGTGTGTAATGTAAGGTATTGCAATGTACAATGTAGCCTTACTAATGCAATAAGTATAGTGTGGTATGGAATGGTATAGTGTAGTATAGTATGGTACGGTATAGTATAGTGTAGTGCAGTACAGTATATTGTAGTGTGGCACAGCATAGCATAGCATAGCATTGTATTGTATTGCAGGAATGCGGGTTGGGGCGAATGCATTTTTGCGAGAATACTGGGCCCCTGGCATGCACATCCCCCCATCCTGCAAATGAAAGAGCAGGTGCTAGGCCCATTGGGTGCAGTCGCTTTTTCAGGGCTCAGATGCACCAGTTCACTCATACATGCACACATTCGCGAACATAGTGCACCACACCAAAGACACAAGGCTTGGTTTGATCCTGAACTTGGTGCTGGAAAGTTTCGTTCGGCCCTGAGCGAGTTGAGGGTGTTCTTTTGTGGATTCACCAAGTGCAATAGAACACAGTTTGTGTATTCTTTTCAGAAGTAGGTTTCATGCGTTGCACCACATTTCTTTACTGAACCCATTATAAGCATTAATGATCAACTCATGCCACACAATAACACAAACCTGGACCGTCATCTCATTTTGCTGCCGTGCCAAGGTCCGGATCATGTGGCCAACTATGTGGAACTCAGTCTATCATCCTTGACCTTCCAACCCTCTGAGAAACCACCTGTGTGGGTGCTCAGTTCATCTCAGCTCATCTCAGTTCATCTCACCAAACCACGAGCTGATAATAGCTGAAACATCATAAAGAGATAAATGAATATAAATGAGGCATGCCGGACATCTGGCACCTAAGGCACAAATGTTGTGCAACCATGTTGTTTGGAGTGTTTGTTCGTTGGCCTTGTGATCGAAGGGACCAAGAGATGTGGATTTTGTGTGCAGTTTTTTTTTCTTCTCGGGTGAAATGCATGGTCTTGGAGGTCATTGTTTTTCAATATTGAACATTTTTCAATATTGATCATTTTGTTTTTATTTTTCTATCATGTTGTCATTTTCGTAAGCATCGGAAATTATAGTGGAGAGTTGTCTCAGGCAGTGGACAAGGCAGGGCGACTATCCACTGCAAAGAGTCATGATTGTTTCTCATGTACAGCTCAATGTGAATTGAGAATTAAAAGGTTAATTAACATGATGCATTTTAATTATGTTATGATTGATCAATGTTGATTAAAATGCTTTGAGCTTCAGAATTATTCTGCCCAACGCCAAATGTACACTGTTCCTTGGCAAGGAGACTGCCAGAAGGGAACGGCAAAGCACAGTGAAGACTAGCATATTTATTTATTTATTTATTTATTTATTTTTTTAAGGTTTCGGTTCAAACGCCCCACGACCGTTACCTTAGCGGGTTGTGCTAGCCATATACCCGCGGCACGCTGTTCCTGCAGTGCTTTAGGTTTAGGGTGATCCTGAAAACCCTTCGATTTGGCCTTAGCTGTCTTGTACCTCTGGCCTTAAACTATTTGCATTTCTTTTGGTGCTGACTACATTTCTGGATTTGATTTATCTCTGGATTTCAGCACGATCGACTGCATCGATTTTGGATTTCAGTGTGTTGCTTGAGCCAGTGATTTTCCTGTGCTTGTCCCGCTCCGCTGTATTTCCATATATGTGTTCATTTTTGCTGATTTTTCTCATCATTGCAGTGATCTTTGATTTGAGCAGCAATTACGTCCGTTACTTTGCGCCGGAGATTGCGCAAATTGCGTGCGACTGCACGCCGCAGGTGGTACCTGCACCGAAAAGGCATCAGGAAGCTCAGTTTTCTTGGATTGGTGAAAGTCAAAGCCACACTCAAACATCACCACTCCAAAGATATTGCTTTTCTTGCCCACATACGTTCAGAAATGGCTTCTGTAGGAGAGAGCTACCCTTGGAAGTGCTCTGGATGTTATCGCCTGAACAAAAAGACCATGGAGTCCTGTCCCATTTGTTTTGCGCATTGGACGACAGGTACAAAGCACAATACCGAGCCAAAGGCTGCCAAAACCCAAAGTTATGCCTGGGGAGACCCAAATGCGGACACCTTTTGGCAGGAAGACGATTGGGGATATGGTCCCGCTGGCTCAGGATGGAAGTCTCGATCTTCAAGCAGACATCAGACGGCCAATGCCCCTCTGACACCGAGAGAGCACTCTACGGGTGCCAACAGAGGCCGCGGCAGAGGCAAGTCCAAAAAAGGAAAGGGGAAGGGGAACAGTCAGAATTCTGCCAACTCACCCTTCTTGCCACAGTCGGGAAAAGGATTCACGGCTTGGCCTGCTATGGATTCGACTTCCTTCATGCCCTCCAATGCAAACCTGAACAGCCCCTTCCAGGTCGTACAGATGGATGCGGGCCAACAGGAGATGGCGGCTGCACTTCGTCGGGCCTATCCGGATCCGACCAAGGTCCCGGAAGACGTGCAAGTCATGCTCGACAGAGCCGACAAGGAGAGCGGCCGGCTTGGATTGAAGAATTTGCATCAGGCGGCCAAGCACTTGGACCGCGCAAAGAAACAACTCAAGGAAGTGACAGATCAGAAAATTGCCCACCGTACGATGTGGATCCAACATCTGACCGAAGGCATCAAGATGTGGGAAAACCAATTGGATTCCTATCGTCGTCATCAAGCCACCCTCACAGAGCTTGCCACCAAGGCTCAAAAGGAGGTTACATCCACCAGCCAGATAATTCAGCTCCTAGGGGCCGCTGGAACTGGATCCTCTGCCGCGCCTATCCCGCCACCAGAGCCTATCGAGGCAACCGAGACAGCCGAGGAGGGTGCCAATCCAGAGGAGGAAAAACTTCGCACAGCATTGCAGACTGTGTTGAAGGCATGTGCAAGCTCCTTGGGACTTCAGCCAGAGGCCCTGCAAGGAGCTCAGGCTGTCGAGATTCAGTCCGACGGGGAGAACAAAGACAAAGAGGACGAGCAGAACAAAAAACGCCAGCGATCTCTAGAGCCATTTGGTGGGCCACAATCGTGAGTGTCGGCCGTGCTTGTGGAGTTCATAAGAATCCCAACCACGAGGCCTTTGTTCTGTCTACCCTTGGAGGAGTTGCTGAGGCCTATTGCCCCGTTGGTTCACGGTGTGATGCAGCATGCGACACTCGAGGTGTTGACTTTGATTTCCTTCTTCCCGCATGTCATTCGATTCTGTTTGAACCAAGATTCCTTAACCCCTTCAAAGCTGCTACCGATGCGTGTAGCTTACGTTGGGAAGTTTTGCAAGATTTGAGCCATGTCGGAATGCATTTTTATGATCCATTTGCCAGATGTGGGGTTGATAATGTTTCTCCTCCTTGCATTTCTCAGGGGTCCCTTGCCAAGAAGCACAGCCGGCTTTGTGTGAGGTTTGAGGATCGTATTGATGTGCTTTTAGGATGTGAAGATTCATGGAATATGTTTGGCATTTCTGTACGGCATGATGCTCTGCTTAATTGGCCGTTGAAACCATGGAGCAAGCGAAGAATTGCACATGTTGCTAGGCCGAATCAACCAGCCCTTGATGATTCACCACCTTCATCTTGTGGTTTCTTTTTGCCCAGAGTCGATGTTTTCTTTTCTGTTGCTAGTTGCCTGGCTCCGCTGTCCAGTGCGGCGGTGTTGAGCCGGCTTCCGGCAATTGATGACCCGTGTGATTCCTCCATTCATGACATTGATGTGGAGCCAAAAGTTGTTCCGATTGAGCTCTCGATTGAGCATCATGAGCCTTTATTGCTTGAAAATGACACTGATGACGTGATGCATGCCATGCAGCTACAATTTAGGCTGCCGTCCGTTGACTCTGCCTTGAGCTCCGACGACGTTAATGCATCCTCTGATTCTGATTGGGGTTACCCTTGCAATGATTGGCTTTTTGATCTCCAACGTATCTTTCGATCTCCATCGTATGTTCTTGACCTTCATGAAGAAGTCGGACTTGAAGTATACACTTGGTTCCTTGACCACGAAGATCAGCCTATCAACACCTGCCCCAAATTCACTAGGTTAGGACTTGATCCACTTGATTGGGAAGACGAGCTGAAATTTCCGTGGCGTTTTCACCTCCGACCTGATCATAGGACGTTCTTCCAAGTTGTCGCTCCATTCCCGCCAACAGCGACAGTGGAAACACATGTTGCCCATGTTTTGCTCACGCAGAGGCCTACAGACCTTAGCTCTATTTTGCTCTCTGTTGAGTTTGAGCAGGGTGATTTGCCTGATGTTATGGTGCGTATTGCAGCTGCCGTTGAACGGACTGTCTCACGTGATCATTTAGCAAGTTTAGTACCTGCACTACAATGGGCTCCACAAAATTGTCTGCGGTTTAGTGTTCCCCAGGCCATCCAACAGGATGAATTCCAAACTTGGCCTGGTCTTTGTATTCGGATCAGAGTCGATTGTTTGCAGATGCAAGCTTCTGAGCCGATGCATGAATGCACATCTGATGACAGCAGCCTTTTTCAAGTTTCCACCACTTTGCAGTCACCTTTCCCCCAGCTTGACGGAGTTGCTTTGCCCAAGTTGCAGTCCTTTGATTCGACCGCACCATCTTGTAGTTTTACGGATGAATTTATTGAAGCTATCAATGCAGCCAATCAAGCAGCTGCGTTTGAAGTGCCATTGGTCGACACCCGCTCCATCGAAGCTCAGCCTGAAAGCATCCAGAATTTGTGGGATAGATTCCTTGCTACCAATGCAGCCTTTGCCTCGACTGGCACTGGCACATGTCGAGTTGAAAGCTGGTTTCTTGACCCTTATACTTTCCCGAGATGCCATAACTCGCGTATTGTTCTTTTGGACGAGCAGTTTTGGCGCTGGAAGGTTGCTCTCACTGAAGCTTGGCGCGATCATCTCAATGGCGCCATTGATTTTGAAGTCGTGATTGTGCATCCCGAATCGGAAGACAAAGCACAAGGTGTCATTGCACAAATTTTGCTCACGAAGTTCCCTATAGCTGAACGAAGGTCTGCTTTGCTCTCTGTGTATGACTCTGATGCCGATCTTGAACGCAATCCTTATACCTTTGCACTTGTATTGCCCAGACCTGTCGATCTCCTTGCGCTTCTGGACCTCCTTCATTTGCGGGACATTTGCCCGCCTGCCATCTGGACTAATCAATGTAGCCTGTGGTATGGCACGGTTCCTGTATCGTCGGAGCGCCCAATTTTTGCCTTTAATGGCCAAGCATTTCGACTTGTCATTAGTCGTGGTATTTGGATGGATCCTGCCAATTTGTTGGCGCTTGACGATGTGCAGCTCCGACATGTTCTCCAGCAGGCATTGCTTTGTGATATCCATACCAGACCACCTGAGCCCAGCTTTATGAGCAGGGCTACACCTGTGCGTGAGCTACAGTTCTCGCAGCCAGTTAGTGATGGACGACCGCCGTGGATTTTAGCTTTGCAACAGAGGTTTGACCAATGTGTCAATGTTGACGCCTCCAGCTCTGAATCCTTCGCTTGGATCCATACCTGGTTTGTTAATGCTGATTTCACGCACCATTGTAGTGAGGGGAAAAATGTTAGAATCACTGCTGAATCCTTTATGTGGCGCACAGATATCATCTTTGCCTGGAGAGATAGTCTTTTGCGAGCTACACCTGCGGATTTTTCAGTTGTTGAGGGTTTGCCGGCACGCATCCCTGATCTGACTAGCCTGCCGCATGTCATTGTGAGCCAAGGGCTTCCCGATCACTTACATCCGGTTCTGGTTTCAGTTCATTGTAATGGCCAGATGCCCTTTGCACCTAGGCAGTTTGCACATGCAT